GATTTGGACGAGATGAGGCACCGACTAGAAGCGTTGCGGTCTACGTGAAGAAAAAACCCCCGAGTGTGATTCGAGAAATATTCTGAAAAATTGAAGTCATGGGTTTCTTAAATTGAGTCATGTTTTTGTGCGAACAATATGTTGGTAGACTTCTGACCGGTTCTGCGCATGCAGAATGTAACCGATAGATAACTATTCTGGTTCAGCTGATGCCTTTTAGTGATGGCGTGTCGACGACGACCGTGATGTGTTTGAGATTTCTTCGCGCGGAACTAAACCATAAATACGTGGATTGCGTGAAATTGATTGATTCGAATGCGCGGATCGTAGATTTTCTGGATCAGCGCTGCCCAACTCAGTGAGGCCAATAGCCACAGCAACACATTTTTGTGGCCAAATTGCTGAGGTCAAGAGTGCTTGTGGACCACAATTGAAGATAATTTTTTCCATCTCTAGTATAGCAGATGTCATTTATTCAAAGGCTCGTGGGAACTTTGTGTCTTTGCCTATGGCAAATTTATTTCCAAGAGGCTATCTTTAAATTCATTTTCATGACATGAATCGCGAACATGGGCTTGTAGAATTTTCGAAAAAATTCTGATTCATCTTTCGATATATTGTAGTCCGAATAGTTGCAGTTGTCACCTTGAAAGTTTTATGGAGTGGACTGCGGGCTTTATGTTGGGCAGCTCTGTTCTAGTTGATCGGTAGTCGTGAATACCTTTCACGAGATAATTCTTCTCTTTCCATTTCTGTCGCACGGATATTTTTAATTCTTCAAAAAAAAAAAAAAAGTTCAAGGATTGCGAGGTTGGATCGAATATATATTTTGAATTAACTTATTGCCAGCTATCCCTACAATCATTTTCCGTTTCCATATTCCGGTGACTGATGCAGTAAAAGCGGTTATCGAAGTTTTGTGTCACATTTTGAAATGATGGGACGAAATGTATCCCGGAGGATTTTTGCTTATTTTGTTGTGTCTGGCGGTTTTCATGACGGTCTTCGGATGCTTTTCATCGTTGCGATTGACGTTTCTCGAATCTCCATTTTTTGCCATTTACAGTTCTGCTTTGTAAGGATTTTTGGTACTTTTAAGAATTGAGCGATCTATCCATGTTCAGATTTTTGAGTCTAATCTTGATTTCCCAAATTAAAACGAACAGATATTTTTGCGTCAAACCCTGGTACGCTTTCATTTTCACTGAAATATATTTATATAATTTTTAAAATCTTGTGAATTCAAATCGATCCTCTCTCCAGTGATGTTTTCTTCACTTCTAAGCTTCATCCTGAAAAGAAACAGAATTGAGGAAAGAATGCTTCTATTCAAAGTTATTGGAGATTACTCCGCACTCGTAATCCAGTTTTAAACTGTTACAATTCGCTTGAAAATTGTAATCCAATCGGAGCACCATAAGCCCACGTATTTAGAAGATATTTCGAGAAATTATGTCAACGGTTCCTTCTGTCAAAATCGCAGATGTGAGAAGAAATCTGTTTCGGTCGAATGGACATCTGTTCGAGAAGAGAATAATCAACTTTGGATTACGAGTAAATCTACTTGATTTTTTTTTTACAGGATGGCGGATTCAGACTCAAATCGGCAAAATTTGCGAAGCGAAATCCGTGATGAGAAGCCAGAAAGAGTGCTTTCGCGAATGACCATTTGTTTCGATTCCTCTTTGCAAGTCGAGTTCAACCGAGTTTCGGACGCACCCAATGACGCAAAACGCCACTGCGACATCGTAATGGATTCAAATCCTATACGTCGCTCGGTAGTCTTCAGAATAGAAGAAAAAACTGCGATGACTCTCGTTTTGGAGTCGTCATCGAATCTCGAGGTACATTTGGAACAGTGGAAATCCCAGGGAAGACTGACGGATCGGGCATCCGCGTTCCATTATTTCGACCGAACTTTCGAGCAGCACGGGGAAGTCACTTTCGTTTTCCTCCTCAATGCGAAGACTATTCCCAAGCGGTATGGGATGAAAGATGTGGAGAATTTCCTGTTGGAAGCTCTGCTGCGAAATTTCAAATGCTGGCGGTACTCGAGTTCATCGGAATTGCCCGCAATGATACGATCCACTGCTTGGGCCCTAGCGACGCAATCTGATGTGGAGAGGAAACGGAAATGTGGGTTTGATTGGCACGCCGAAAACTTCAAGGCCAATGTCGTGCATGTTAATGAAAATGGTCTCGGATTGAAGAACTTGTGGCCGGTTATTCTGATGCAAGTACCTGGGTGTACGTACGAAATAGCGAAAACCGTAGCTGATGAGTATCCCTCCATGCGGCTTTTGTTTCAGGTGAGTTTCTTCATTGAAGGGATTGATCCTGTCGTCCTTGATTGGCACTTCCAAATATTATACTGTTCATCGATATTT